CAACTACTTAGTAACTATAAGTTTTGATTCATGAGTAGAGAAAAGGAAGAATTGTTTTCATGAGGGCAATTTAGAAACAGGTAAATACCAGGAAATGTTTAAAGTTACTACTAATCTAAAATGAAAATTTAATATTCAGTAGTAAAATACTACACATATATTACATTTCCAGTTTCTTTTCTTGTGTTTGAAACCACGTTTGTTGACAGGAAAATGTAAGTATCAAGTCAGAAGTTTAGCCATCAGGTAATGATTTATTAGAATGTGGTGTATCTACCTGAGAAAATGCACCACAGCCATTAAAATAAACATTAAGAAGACCATTTAACAGGCCTGAGAAATGTTTTTAATATAAACCAAAGAGAACGAGCTAGAATACATGACTGTACATATATTATGTTTTCAATTATGTGAAAAATATGGAAGCTTATAGAAAAAAGATTAAAGGATTATAGTAGTTGTTCTGAGGTCTGACAGAGTTTTATAGTTTTTTTATGTACTTTTTTTCCAAAATGTTACTTTATTATTTTTAAAGCTTAATAACAAGCTCTTTATTTTTAAAAGACAATTAAAATTATGTTTATTTGCTGTGTTAATATGCCTTTATCCAAAAGGCACTTAGTTTTAAAATTGCCTCTGTCCAAAAACAATTACCGTTTAAGAATAGTGGATGAAATCAAATGTCCTTATTCTTCCTAGAGAAAAGTTATGTCTATTTTATCAAATAAACTAATATTAAAATTCATATTACCAGTTTTTAGCTTTTGCTAGGTAATAAAGTTACATATGTCAGATATTATTTAAAGCATTAAAAGGCAAAATAAGAAAAGGGTACCTAGAAAATAGAAACATTTATTAAATGAAGAAATTAAATTCTCAAATTGTCTTCATGAATTGGTTTTATTAAAATTGGACTGAATTTTTAAAATTTATTACTTGACAGCAGGTGTTTTAGAGTTTTCACTGTAAAATAGACCTTGAGGAAAGAATTATTATTATATGTTTGGCTTCATTAGAAACCATTATCTATTTGATGAGTAAGTATTTGGGAGAAAATTATTCTGACCAAGAAATATTAGGGAAAATTAAGGACTATTAAAGGAAAGGAGAGGAAATATAACTCCAAAAGGGTAAGGAACAAGAAAAACAAGAGGAAGGAAAAAAATTAAAGCTTTTAACTAGCCTGGAGATTTAGATTCCATTTAATTCTGCTGGATTGCCATTTCTACTGTCAGTCTATAATCTTAAATGAACTAGTTCCTTAGTCTCAATACTATTTGCCAATCTAATATTTGATAAAGGCAAAATTTCTTTGATTTACTGTGGACAGAATTCTGATGAGAATGCCTTTCTTGGCCTGCCTTTCACCTACTTCCCTCTGCATTTTGAAGAACCCCTGTATCCCGTCTTGCAATCCCAGAAAGTATTCCCCTCTTTCTATCCTTGTCTTGTTATGTTTTTGTACATTAGGACAACATCCAGTCTTCCTTCCTTTTATTTCTAATTAACTCAAGAGTGCCCAATGCAAATTAAGAAAGATTTCAGCTCCATTAAAAGTTGTAAAATTAAAAATTATGCCCTCATGTTAGCCCATGTTACTGGTGGAGGATGTCCAGGTTCTTGAACAAATAATTGGGCAAAATGCATAAACAAAGGAAGGAAAGAATGAAGTAACAAAAGCAGAGATTTATGGAAAATGAAAGTACACTCCACAGGGTGGGAGCCAACCGAGCGTAAGGGCTCAAGAGTCTTGTGACCGAATTTTCTGGGGTTTACATACCCTCTACAGGTTTCCCCATCGGTTGCTTGGAGTACACCCTACGTATATTAAGTAGTGGCCTACGGTCAGTCTGATTGGTTGTGTAAGGGGACCAATCAGAGGCTGAAGTGAAGTTACAAATGTATACCCTATGCAAATGAAGACTTTGCCCACGAGCAGCCTGATTGGTTGTGGAAGGGGACCAATCAGAGGTACTTTCAATTTTTCATCAGCCATTCAGAAAAAGGTGGTGGGATGAGGAGGGGTGCAAAGGGAGTAGACTCTGGTCCTTTTGTTACTTGGGCATGGAAAGGTGGGGTTTTCCTTTTTGTTTCGTTCTAGGAAGTCAGCATGAAACAGCCTTAGGTTCCCTGCCTCCAGACCCTATTCTCCTCCTCACCCATTCCCAATTTTGTTTTGTGAATGACCTATCACATTAAAATATTTAAGTCCTGATGCTGCCCAACTTCCCATCAAAGTTTTACCAAAGAATCAGTAAAACGTTATTTGATTCGTTGGTGCAAGTCATCCAGCCAGGCTTGGTGGCTTATGCCTATAATCCCAGTACTTTAGGAGCCCAAGTTGAGCAGATCACTTCAGTCCAAGAGTTCGAGAGCAGCCTGGGCAATACGACAAAATGCTATCTCTACAAAAAATACAAAAAACTTTAGCCGGGCGCAATGGCATGCAGTAGTCCCAACTACTTGGGAGGCTAAGGTGGGAGAATTGCTTGAGCCCAGGAGGCAGAGGTTGTCGTGAGATCACACTGCTGGACTCCAGCCTGGGTGACAGAGTGACACTCTGTCTCAAAAAACCAAAAGAGAGAGTAAAGAAAACTAGTCATTTTCCTTTGAAGTAGTTCACCAAAATATTCAGAGAACCGGCCACTCACCATAGGAATTTATACCAAAGGAAAGTTGTTTAGTAATATACTATGTAGATTACTAAAATGTATGCCCCATACTAAAAGCATATCATAAATACAGTGAGCAAGTATGGCTCTTTCTCAGCATAAGATCAGGCCATGCCACCGTTGGAGGTTTGGTAATCCTTGGCTGGGGGAAGCAATAGAAATATCGATAAACATTTTTCTTCCCTATAAACATAGTATTAAATTACATTGCAATTAAAGTAGCAGTGAATGTAGTGAACTTTACTTGGCCTGTGTTTTTACTATAGAATTCCTACATCATTATATATTTTGATTGTGTTTTAGAGATTTTCTTAACCCAATTTATAGATTGGCTTGTTTAATGAACCTGTAAAACTGCACATTGGTGTCCTAGGGAAATGGTCCTGCTAAAAGAGCTTGCCTTTCATTTCAAATAGCAACTTCTACTCTAGAAGAGATCAGTCAATTGCCATATTTTCTTTTCGCTCAATAGTTTTGGGTGTTATAGCTCATGCAAAGTGCCTTTGTATTTTGGTTCACTGACTTAAGGTGCTCTGTGAATTCAACTTATAAATAACTAATGTAGACCTTGTTTTGTGATTGAAATGAGGGGCAGGTCTAGCTGACCCTTTTGATTCTCAAGCCCCTAGTGATATAGATGATATTCATAACCCTTTTCAGCCTCATCCTGCCTGTGCTCTTTGAAGTAAACTATTATGTGTTGACATCCATGACCTATTCTTTGCTAGCTGTTCTTCAGCTCTAATGGACTTTGCTTATTCACAGAAGATGGCACCTCTCTTGAACTCTGTCTCATTTCATTTCTTTTCTTTTCCAGATATCTCTTAGTTTTTCCCCAGCATGTTCTAAATCGTTTTTGAATACCCTAAGTCTCTAATGTAGGAAATATTCTTAGTACTAAGGAATTTTGCTTTAAATTTTGTTTAATAGTGCTTTTTGCACTTCCCCCACCCCATAGTATAATAGTTTTAAATGTCTCTAAATGAATATTTGGAAACCGATCTATCTTAACTTTTATTATATTTCATATATTATTTCCTAAAAAGAGATTATCACATTTTCATCTGTATGTATAAACAAGATGTAATTTTATCAATTAACCTATTATAGAAATTTTTTTTATTTTCTTCCCATTCTAGTTTCTCATTTCTGACTTCCATATTAGATTGTTTTTATTGACTGTTTTAAAGTAATTATAAGAATGTAATCCAATATTTTATTCTGTCACAATAAAATATGTAACAATTATAATTCTAAGTCAATAATGCTATTTTCTTTATAGTGAATAATGTACTTACATGTCTGGTTCACTGGAAAATAGTCATGAAAATGAGTAAATGTATCCCAGTATTTTTTCATTGACCTTTTAGGTTACTCAAATGTTCTGTCATATAAAAAATTGTTGTATATGTGGATGCAATATAAATAATATGAAGCTTTTGAATCTATGAATTACATATTTTTATAAATGAGTTAACCCTTATACTTTAATGGAAATTCATTGATTGTGGTGAATATCATTTTTCACTTTTCAGCAAAGGTTTTAAGTTTTATGATTTTTTGTTAAATATGCTTGTAATATCTAACTATAAAAATATCTCTAGTCTCAATTTGCACATCTAGCAAATGGTCAGAATAATTAAAAGATATCTTGATAAATACTTCCCACCATAAGCAGTCAACAAAGTTTTGTCCTCATGCTAGCTCCATGTCATTCAAACTGTCTCCTTTTGTCTGCAATCAGAGGAGCCTTTTGTTACTGAAAAGATTCTTAGAGTGAGCTGAAGCACCAAATTGATTTGTCTCTCATAGCTGTTTTCTTTAAGCTGGTTTTACTTTTTATCTTGCTGGGCTGTTTATTGTTTGACCAGTAATTTTATTTCTTTGTTCCCGTTCTGCAAGATCCTTTCCTCTTTTAAACGAATGTGCTAATGAGTGTTTGACATGTAAGAGGAATATTTCTGTTCATAAGAAGTGAAAATCTGTTTTATCAAGCAAAGAAGTATATTTAGGGATGAAGGTCAGCATAATTTCAACAATTGCATGGTACTGTTGGAGCAAAGCTCCTAGTCCTTTCATACCTTACAAATGAGTTCCTCTTGGAGGTCACACTCGAAAGTCCAGAAAGCATAGACTATATTAGCATTCCATTTTCTTAGTGAAAATTAAATCTGCCAAATAATACCTGCATCTGAATATTAGAGAACAACAGCAGAAAGAAAACATTTATTGAAATTTTCTACGGGGCTATTCTGTTAATCATTTCACATATTTGATAGAATTCTCGGGTATCAAACCAATTCTCAGTCCCATTTGTGTTTTGTAAAGGTTATTTGATTACCACGGGCGTGTGCCTCCACCTCCCCGTGCAGTAATTCCACTGAAGCGTCCCAGAGTGGCAGTCACGACGACTCGCAGGGGGAAAGGAGTCTTTTCCATGAAAGGTGGATCGAGATCTACTGCCAGTGGGTCAACAGGCTCTAAATGTAAGTAAGGTCCTTCATTTTATTTCTCCTTAAAGAAGGGGGTGGTTAACTATCATTGCATGAATGCCTATATTCAATAAATTAACCAGATAGTTATGAAGGGCCTGCTATGTATAAAGTATTAGAAAATCATCAAATGGATAAGAAATGGTCTCTGCTTTCCACCATACTGTGTTGCAGTAGGGGAGACAAACACAAACATGTCTAACAAAAACCCAGGACCAATTTGAAAAGTATTTTATCAGAGCAAATAACACCGTGCTCTCAGCTTAGCTTGTGACATATTAAAGTCCTGAAACATAATATGTTGCTTTTAATGAAGAAATCAATTTACTTCCAAAGGGAGTGCATAAACTGTCTTTTCAGAGAAGCATTATACAAAATTAGTTCATGGTTTGAATATTTGAGCAATTAAGAGAGGCAAACTATAGAAATGTTAAAAGCATAATTTACCATACAGTGATAAATTATTGTGAGATATATGTATCTGAAAATATATTTAATGTCATAAAAAGTAAAATAATATTTGCATAGTTTCACATTAATTAGTAAAAAGCAGCGATACAAACTTTCCAACTAAACACACTGCTAAATTTTTATGTGGAGTGATTCAGAAAAAAATTTTATTTGTTGTTATTCCTAAGGATAACAAAATTTCCCATATTCCTTGAGATTGCCCTTTATCAGAAAGCGAACAAATAATGAACTGATCAATAGGTAAAAGAATAAACACATAGAGAAAGTTGGGAACACTATATTTCATTGATTGAAGTGACATTTGAGTGGAAACCTAAAGGATGTGAGGAAAAGAGAAAGTGAGCTTGAAGCTGTCAGAGACAGAGCATTCTGTGGAGAAAAATTGGTCAGTGCAGAGACCTTAAGTTGAATAGTCAAGGAACAATAAGGAAGCCAGTGTGACTGCAACAGAGCTGAGCCAGTGAGGGAAAGTCTGGCTGGGGATCAGGTCAGAGAGTTAGACACAGGGCAAGTTCCAATGCAGCTTGATAAGCCACTGCAGAGACTTGGATTTACTCTGCATCCCAACCATTTAAGACAAGTAAGGCAAATACTATTATCCCAGTTTTATTGATGAGTAAACACAGAAAGTCATATAGCTAATTGATATAGTAGAGCCAGAACTAGAACCTAGGTCTCTTAGTTCTTATGCCCATAGGCTATTTACTGTAGAACACTGCCTTTTATTTCAGCACTATACTGAGAAAGAATCACTATTGAAATACTTTGTTTTTACAAAACGCAGTTCAAGATGCAGGAAGGTACTGATGCTTCTGAAAAGGCTAAAGTTTATTATACTCAACAAACTTTGTGGACCTAAGATAACTTCAATAGCACATTCATAGATTTATGGATTTCTATGTAATTATGTATCCATGTATCTATTCTGTAGATAGGTAAATATGAATTCCTTTTTGAGTCTTAGTAACAAAAAAAGGAGTTTCTGCAGCAACTCGTTGGAGGTTAGGTCACCCCAATGTGGAGTATACACAAGTTTCTCTCTCTCAAAAAGTCTCCAAGTGTTGAAAATTTCAATGACTTGTTTCTTACATTGGAAAAAATAAACAATGAAGGGATTTTTATAGAAAGACAAATTGCCAAAGTCAGCTACTTGGAGAAATAATGTGAAGAGACTTTACAGTTTGTAACCATTACAACATGTAACATAAGAATTTATCCTTAAATCCAATGGTAAATCACACATGAGGTTTAATTTCATCTTTTCTTTCTTTTTTTTTTTTTTTTTTTGTGTGTGTGTGTAAGATGTGACAGTCTTGAGAAAAGGCTAAATCTGAAAATTGGACTACTAAATACAAACTAGAGATGCTTTGAAAGAAATGTGGTGTGTTTTACTTTTTTGCAGCAATCATTCTTTGGAACTGTGCATCCTACAATATCTCTGTTACGCTGGAAAGATATAGATAAGCAATAGGTAGAAAGATAAATTATGTGGTAAAAAGATTTTGTAAGGACAATCAAGACAAATGATCATTTAAAATCTATTCAGCATATTATAATTATGTTAATTTTACTTAAGGTTTTTAAGTGCTGTATCTTTATTATATTGAAGTTAAATCAAAAGGAAATATTTCATATAAAACACTGGGGAAAATCACTTTAAAAGATTTATCCTAAGGATTAAATCTAAGCTTGGAGGTAGAATAGTCATGTGGCTTCCAGCATCAATAAGACAGCTCCAAGGGATTACTGCCGAGAGACAGGCAAGCCACAGGCTATAGGTGCAACCCCAATAAGATACTTGAGTCGGGGAGCTTGACGGGCCTGGTTTACATAGTAGAGAAGAGGGGCTCCTGGGCCTCCTCCAAGCCAGCCCTGCAGCAGAGCTTCTGTGTAGTAGTCAATGTCATGGTCAGTCACATCAGAGATTACCCAGAAACAAGGGGCAGCCATGGTGTACTTGAGCGTGATGCCAGCCCCCTGTTATTACAGCAAGACAACAGATTGATCAATTCTATTCATTTCATATATTTCTATACATTTAGAGCTCAAGTCACAAAACTTAACTGTTAATTGGTGTTACTTTAGTGAAACATAAAAATGTATCTATAATTCACTGGGAAGCATAACTAGAATCATGATTTAATATTCTTTTTAGGAGCATATTGGCAGATTATATTATGTGTACATATATGTACATAAAATATATACGTGCATGTATAAATATTCATTAAATTTATAGTACTTTTTATAATTAGGTTGGTTTCTGGAAATAACAAAAGTTTCAAACTCAAATCACAAATGAAAAGTATCAGTGAAGTTTAAAATAGACTATGTTAATATTGATAGAATCTGAATAAATATTTACTGAGGTATATATCTCACTCTTTTATTAATAGCTTTTTCCAGCATTTAATGGTTTGGCAAGTTCAGAAGAGGAAATTAATGTTATAGCTTGGATAATTTGTCATTTCTTATTTCAGAATTTGTAATATGACTGAATTCTGCTAAGGAGAAAACTATATAAAGAAAAATATATTAATGTGATAATTTACCAAAAATGAATACTGATAAGCATTTAAAGTGGATTGCTTTAAATAGATTGCTACTAGGTATTTCTGTCCCATTTCAAATCAAATTGAACTAAAACTATAATCAACTTGTCCTGTCCTGACATCATAGAGTCATAAAATAAAGAAAATATGATATTGCAGATTAGTATTTTACGAAAGAGAAAACATGAATATCAGTGAGCTTTAGCTGTAGTTTCTTAGTGGAAAAATTGATGCCCTCTGGAAAAAAATATTTGATATCAATTTCTTTAAAGAATTAATTTAAATTCTAATGTCTAACAAGAAAGACTCTGGTAAGTTTGAATGCCTTTAGGGACTTGTCAATGCACTTTCAGTGACAGAATAGGTGACAAACTAATATAAATGCCCTGAAACATCTAACAGGAAATTAAAGACAGTTCAATTAAAGTTAAAATTGAGAATTTATCCCCAATGCTAAGAAGCTCTTTATGTTGGGTTCTTCCCCTCAAAAGTATGTGATTGAAATACAGAGATAAAGCATCAACCAGAGAAATAATATTAATACTCAGCAACATATCATTAAACATTCCCATCCATTATCCTAGGCAAAGTATATTCTGCTTTAGAGATTTTTAAAGAGAGAAAGTACTATCAGCCGGAAAGGTTAGAGAAGGCTTAACAGAGAATTTTGAATTGAGTTTAGAAGAGCCGGTGCATTCAGAAAGGTAGAATGAAAGATACTTGCTTTCTGGGAGACAGGATCTGGGTGGAGAACAGAGGCTTTCCTGTCAGATTGCCTGGAGTGGAGTCTGTTTCACAGTATACTACCATGGTGGCCTTGGGGAAATCCTTTAACCCCTACATACCTCTAATTTCTACCTGGAAATTGAAAATAATATACTGTATATCCAATAGTTATTGTAAGAATTAAACTACTTCTGTATATAAAATGCTTAGGCACATAGTAATGTTCAATGAGGTTATTGCTACTACTCTTATTATTATAGCAGGTAGGAGCATGGAACATGTAATTGCTGCACCTAGAATCCAGTAGTGCCTCAGCCATTTATTATGTGTGTCTTGCGGCAAGGTACTTGCTTGCTGTGCCTTAGTTTCCTCATCTATAAAATGGGAATGATAATCTCACTGCCTTCTCTGTAGAGTTGTGAGGATTAAATGAGCTAGCACATGTAGAGCTCTTAGAACAGTGTCAGCTAATATAAAAGTCTTAATAGATAATAAACTGTGCTAGTCTGAAGTAAAGATTTATTGCTAGGAATGTCAGTTAATAAACTGAGGACATTATTATTAAACAAGATATAAAATTGGGTAAAAGGATAATGAAAAACTGTACAGAATATTGAAGGGTTTGGATTTCATGCAGGGCCAAGATAAAAAATTCTCAGCAAAGTGCTACCTGCTCAAAATGATATTTTAGGACATCTGTATGATGGGTGTCATTAGTTGGCGAGGGCTGTCATAACAAAGTACTATAGTTTGGGTGGCTTTAAATTTATTTTCTCACAATGATGGAGGCTGAAAGTTGGAGATCAAAGTGTCAGAAAGCTTGGTTCTTTCTGATTGCTGTGAGGTAAGGGTCTGTGTCAGTCCTCTCTCCATGACTGGTAGATGACTATCTTATCCCCATGTCTTCACACTGTTTACTCTTCATGTGTCTTGTCTAATAAATTCCCTCTTCTTATAAGGACAAGTTTAGACCCCTCTATGTTACAAGGGCATCACCTATCCTCTAACTTCAGGCCAGCTGTTCGTTTTTTTATTATGGAACTTACACTCTTCTGCTTCATGTCGTAGTTATTTGTATGGACATCTAATCTTTCTATTTTCAATTACAAATTCATTCAAGTTGATTATGCTTTGCACAGATTATACTCTTAAACATTTGTGAAATGTGACATCACTATTATTTTTGCTTTTTGCATTTTACTTTTTGTCATACATTTTACAGTTGACTTTGAACCACATCTTTAA